AAAATATATAGATAGTTATAAAGAATGTAATTTAAAACATACATATCAACTTAACATTCTAATGGCTATATTAGCCACTTAAATGTATGCATTTAAAATATTAATGAACTATTCCTATTGTGTGTAATAGTTTCATTCCCATACATTGTGCATTATAAAATTAATCACCATTGATCCATGCCTATGATTACCATACCTTTTTAGGTCCCCACTGGATCCTTCCTAATTTCTTTAACCCCTTACTCTGCCCACGCAACTGTATATAAATGAAACACAATGTATATAAATTTTGTATGTAAACCAATATTAAAAAATAATTTAAAAAGATTTATGAACCAGCTCTACCTTAAAAATAATAAATTTATAACCTTGATCCTTTCAACATCTGTTTGAGCTACAGTTTTTGTATCACTTTTTCTACATAAGTTGATCCTAACATAATGTCTTATTCCTGAAGTCTTCCACTGATTACCCTGTAGTTGTGGGTGTTGTGTGCCCTTGAATAGGAACTGACTCATAGCTGCCCCTCCAGTTGGTTTTCAGAGGTGTAAATAGAACAGAAGGAAATGGCCTTTCTCCTGGGTGAATTTTAATCGTCAACCTTTGGCTTGGCACTCCAAATCCTTACCACTAGGCCACGAGAGCTCCCTGTCACAAAACATAAGCAAATGAAAATTTTAGAAAGTTCATTCCGCGATTCTAAGTTTTTAAAAGTTAACAGGAAGTTGTCAAAATGGCAATGTTTGTATTTACTCTGTTAAGATCATACATCATGAAAAGAAAACGTTAAGTTTGTAAAGATATTTCTTATTGAATGAGCTAAGTGGAGAAAATTTTTCATTATTATGTCCATATATGAATTACAATTGTTGCTAGAATGAGATAGAATTCGGTATCAAGTCTAATCTTTTTTTCCACCTCATTCTTACGTAAGTGCTAAGATCTCTGTTCACATAAATTGATTTTAATGGAGGGAGTTTCATAAGAGTAGTGTTACTCAGTTTTTTTAATGTCTTTCCAGTCTTACTGCTTTTTCTTTTTCCCCACAGCACTCATAATTTTCTAGCACACTGCAGAATTTACGTATTTATTGTTTTATAATGTATTTCCTCCCCTTCTCCTTGTTCCATGAATATAGGGAGATTTTCTCAGTGATTTCTCCCAAGTGCCTACAAGGTGCCCAACAGTCAAGAAGGATTTCTTAGATACAGACTGATTCATCATTAAAGACAATTGTGAACATTCTTATCTGCTCATTTAGATCTTTATTTTTATGAAAGCAGAAGTTAAAACCCATCTGATTTACAAAAATGGTTTCTTTCTTAATCAATAAATTCCATTCCTTTCTCAATACCTAGGATTTTGTTTTTCTGAGTATTATGTTTTATGTTGGAAAAACCCCTCTGACTTCATTTCTAAATTTAGAAAAAAAATGCAAACAGACATTTTGAGGAGTATTTTAAAAACCATGCAACAATAAAGTAAGTAACACATCTTGTACAATCTCTTAAATTCAATCATGACTATAACTATGTAGATCTAACACAATCCATTAATTTATGCATCAAAATATGATAAATGTGCTTTTAATATATTTAAAAATTATGTTATCTGCAAGTTATTACTAAGATCAATAGTGTGATAAAAATATATTACACACACACACACACACACACACACGTGTATTGAATGCTGGCATTTGCTTTCCAGAAATAATGAAATAACACATAATTTAAAAATAATTTATAATAAATTAGTGCTGTTAATCTTGACAGATAACATGAGCAAATTTTTCTATGTATTTTGTGAAATAAACACATAAACTATCAAAGTGATTTGATCTGGTAGCTAGTATACACTTTTATTTTTATTAATAGGAAGTGGGCAATATTAAACAATTATTAGGAGGTAGGATGGATTATAATAGAAGTAACTATTTCCATATATATATGTTGGTTTAAAAATGTTTCTACTACATACATACAATCTGAGATAAAGCATAGGGACTGGTTTTTGTAGGTTTTATCCAGAATAATTTGAAACAGTCTCTGAAAGCATTTAGTCACTGTTAGATAACTTTTCTCACTGACCTGTACTGCTTCAGCCACTCAGAATGCTCCTCTTTGCAGCTAATGAGGTGACATAAGGATGAGGGGAAAGCTGAAAAGAATTTCTTAAGTTTAAACATACTGAATAAAAGCCTTTTCTATAGCATTAGGTGTTTCTTATTCTCTCATGAAATACACTGAAAACCCACTGGAGGGTCAGCTATCGGTCAATTCTGACTCAACGGCTCACAACAAGTATTTCTTATCAGTGTTCTGTTTGCTTTGCTCTCACAAGTGTTCTTTGAGAACACTTCTTTGATAATAGTAAAGGATGGAAGAGTTAAATAATCAATAATCTTACCTCTTCAATCTACAGTGTATCCGAATTAATAATCTCCCAGCCTACCCAGACACCTTTTTTCTAAGGCTTTGCTTCACCCAGGGCAGAAATATGTGCAAGGAATACAAGAGCAAATCCTGGTGACCCCAGGGTTGGCATCAACTTCTTAGATAAAACACCAAAAGCACAATCCGTTTAAAATAATTTGTAAGTTGGACTTTATCAAAACTAAAAGGTTTTGCTCTGTAGGAGAAACTGGAATACTGTGCAGTCCAAATGGAGATGTGATTAACCAAGAAAGGAACAGTTTTGGAGTGGTGTTCAGGAGGTTTTGTGCTGCAGGCCAATGCATCTTGCTGAAGTACCAGATGATGGAGGCAGCAGCTTGCTGTTGTAGTGGGTGGCTGTTACGTACAACCACCGGACTGACGCAAAGCTGACCTTCCAGCAGATTTTCAGAGGCAGTTAATCATATGAGAGGAGATTGCTCATCTTTCTTCCACAGATGGATTCAAACTATGTGCTTTTGAGATTGTGGCACAACTTCTTAACAGTAGACCACCAGAGCTCTTGTAGTGGGAGAGAGGGTAAAAGTAAAAAGTAGGCAGGATCGCAGTATCTGCTTGATATCTTAACTACAGGCACATTCTCAGGCAGGTATATTTTTTATGAACGACTACAAATGAACTGATAAAGCTTCATCTCACATATTTCGGGCATGTTGCTAGGAGAGGCTAATCCTTGGAGAGGGACATTATGCGTGGAAAAACCAGATGTATTGACACAGTGATTGAGGCAATGAATTCTACTGTGTCAAAAATTATGAAGATGGCACAGGATAGCCAGGCTTCAGATCTGTTGTCCATGGGGTTGCTATGGGTCGTAGCAACAACAACAAACAAACAGAAGAACTGGAAAGGAATTCCTTTAAAACTGCCTTGCTTACAGCCCCTTTAGGAAGAAACCATGTGCATTAGGGATACATGGACCCCCAGTTTGAAGACTGCCACTCTGCTGCATCCCTTGGCACAGAACTGATATTTCCCTGTTCAGTGAACATTCACAGAATTGAATTATCCCAGTGGTGATGCTCTCTCCTCTCTCCTGCCCATGTAGGTATGAGGTGGAGATCAATAGACGCACGGCTGCAGAGAATGAGTTTGTGGTGCTCAAGAAGGTAAGAGATGGGGTTGTTGTTATGTGCCTTTGAGTCGCCTGAGACTCATAGCGACCCTATATACAATAGCCCTAAACTCTGCTCTATCCTGTGCCAATCTCATTGTCTCTGAAGAGATGGGGTAGAAAGGGTCAAAAGCCCAGAGGGCATCTTGAGCGGACAGCACAGTGATTGTGTAGGATGGGATGGGAAGGGACACTAGGAGGTATGCAGGGAATACTGGGATTCACATTTCCCAGCTCCTCCCTCCAAACCCTTGTCTGGGATGCCTGATGCTCCCAAAATCTGCCAGCTTAAAACCCAGGAATTTTGCCATACCGCCAATGTAACCATGTGCAAATTAGCCATGTTAATTTGCTGAATGATATTGAGCTATTCCCTGCAAAGCCTGACTTGAGGGGATAGAAAAGGCCATTTGCACCTGGCTCTTACCAGGGAACCGGAGGCTCCTCTTGGCAGCAGGCACCTAACTCTCACTTGTCTCCCAGGACGTGGATGCTGCTTACACAACCAAGGTCGAGCTCCAGGCCAAAGTGGACTCCTTGACAGATGAGATCAAATTCTTCAAGTGTCTCTATGAAGGGGTAAGATCTTAGCTGACCTCTCTTTTGAGGTCTGCTCTTCTTACAAGTGGCTATGGCCCTTGCCCACGGCCTAGGTGATTGTGTGGGCACAGGGTTGAAAGGGAAAGACCATTCACATCAGTGCACCTGTCGGACATTTAGCTAGGTTTTTGTGTAGACCATGAGGGAGAAGAACTGATTGTTGTTTTCAAGGAGGGGACTGTCTGGTAGGGAAAAAGAAAGTGTTGTTGAGTTTTAAGAGTCAAGGAAGGGATGATGAATTCTGCCTTAGCTGTCAGAATAGGTTTCTAGAAAAATTAGAATGCTGATGAAGATTTTAGTGGGGGTGAGGAAGGACATGGTGTTCCAGGCTCAAGAAGCCATAGAGGTGATGCTTTAAAAGCCTGAGAGGGACAAGGGCACAGGGTGTGGGAGGATGCAGAAGCCTGGAGAGGGTCAAGGCCACTGGGCCCCCCCACAGGGCTCAGAGTACTGCAGAAAGTTCAGACTTGTTTTTTACGGGGGAAGGGGAGTCACTGTGGGATTTTAAGAAAGAAGGTGTGAAATGTGGGTAGGATAAATTTTGTGTGCATGACGCAGAAGCAAGTTTCACCATTTCGCACTGAAAGCTCAAGGTCTTTATTCTCATCAGCATGGCAGGCTGCTGGGAGCAGAAAGTGGTGGCGAGGCATTTACCCCAGGGAATAGGGAATCTCTTACTGGGCCTCCTCTCCCTACTGTCTGTCCTCCAGGAGATTGCTCAGATGCAGTCCCACATCAGTGACACCTCTGTCATCCTGTCCATGGACAACAACCGTGACCTGGACTTGGACAGTGTCATAGCGGAAGTTCGTGCCCGATATGAGGAAACAGCCCTGAAGAGCAAGGCTGAGGCCGAGGCCCTGTATCAGACCAAGGTGAGAGCTGGGGGCTGGGTGAGCTGAGGCTCTGTGACTGCAGCGGCTGCCTGCGTCTAGGCCTCTGTTTATGTGTGTGCGCATGCGCACACATGCATGCACCCGTGGACATGTATACGTATGTGTGCATGCGTGTGTTTCTGGCTCAGCCAAGACCTCCAACTTCTTGGTGCTGAGCCTAGTAGTTTCCTCAAGCTCAGAGAGCGCATCCACAGTATGAGGGCCTGCTGGGTTTATCCCTTTCCTTGCCGTGGACTCTGGCTGACAGCCAAGTCCACAGCAACCCTGGGAGACCCTGACAAGCGTCCGTCCGTGGATAAGCCACTGATCTCCACTTCTCTTCTTGTTCCCAACTTCGGCAAAACAAGGATAATACATTTGCAAAATATAAAAAAATTGGAATAGTGAGGATAGGAAGTTCCAACTCCCCAGAAGTCTTTGTATTTGTGATCCCAGGAGTTCTGTTGAAGCAAGGCCTTCCTATCCAGAGGGAAAGGAGGGTGTCCCTTTCCTCCTCCTTCACCCCATAACTTTCTTTCTCTCCCCCCTTTCTCCTTTCCTCCTCACTTGTCGGTGCACTGTTTGGGTGTTTGAGAATGCCTGTGGTCAACCCTCCCTGTCTCAAAATTTAAAAACACCTTAAGCACTCATGTTGGTATTATGTGCCATTGGGCCAGAACTGCCTCATAGCTGATCCTCCAGTGGGTTTGAAGAGGCTGTAAATCACCTGGGAGGAGATTGCCCATCTTTTGTCCATGGAGCAACTGATGAATTGGAACCACCTGCCTTTGGGTTGATCAAACATCTCCTTACCCTTAGGCCACTAGAGTTTCCTAAACACCCATTGTTGTTGTGTACCATAGAGTCAGAACTGACCCATTGTTGACCCTCTGGTAGGTTTTCAGAGGCAATTAATCACATGGGAGATTTCCCATTCTTCTCCTATGGAACAGCTGGTGGCCTTGAACCATGTGCCTTCTCGATTGCAGTGCAGCTTCTTGCCACTAGGCCACCAGAGCTCCCTTAAATACCCACAGACAGATAAGTCTCCACTCTTCTTCTTGTCACTCAACCCCAGATCCAGGAGCTCCAGATGGCAGCCGGCCAGCATGGAGATGACCTGAAACATACCAAGGCTGAGATCATAGAACTTAACCGGCTGACCCAGAGGATCCGTTCAGAGATTGGGAATGTGAAGAAGCAGGTGGGTCTCTGAAATGGGTCGGCTCACACAAGTTCACTGAGCAACAGAGTATGGAAGAAGGGGAAGAGGTATTCCCTGCTTAGGGAGCTTACAATCCATCTGAAGAACAGTCTGCATGCATTTGGAAAGAAAAGGCACTTCTGTGGCCACTCTGTACATGTGGGAGTGTTGAGAGGACATGGAGGTGAATGAGGCTGGGAGGAAGCCTTGGGCTGAGAAAGAGAAGGTGTCCAGGGAAAAGGATCTAGGAAAAGGAGCAGGGATGCACATTACGTGTGGGAAGATGCTCCATCCTCCTGGTGCAGACTGCCTAATCAAACAGAGCAGCTGTACTCCCAGAGCTTCACTTGCAGAGGATTTGACCTTTGGTAGTCCCTGAATCCACCTGAATATTTGTCTCAAAGGAAAGACTGCAAGTCTTTTAAGTTGGACCACTTTTACAAGTGGTATGTAGCAGAGGATCTGACTGGGTAAGGAACCGATGAGTTATGAGCTGCTGTCAAACTGGGTAGTGGAAGTTACACCTCATCCAGAAGTTTGCAAGTCCCATGTGATGAATCATGACAAGCAGTAGGCTTTAGGACAGAGTGGAGAAAGGAGCACCTCCCACCCTAGCCCCAGGGCTCTGCACTGTGCATGGCCTTCCCTGTGGTTGTGGCTGTGCACTGAGGTCTCCCTCTCTGAGACACATTACTGGGGCCAAACGTGTGGTTCCTGATAAACATAGAAAGGTGTCTCTTGACTTCTAATGAATGGCCTTTCCTAATATGGTGGAAATAGGCAACTCAAGAGTTTCCCAGTCAACTTGCCATCTCCTTCAATGCCCCCTCCCTCAGCTCTGTACACACACAACAGAGGAAAAAGAGGGGGATGGGTCTCCTCAGTGCACTGGGCTTATGGCAATGGAAGGAGGAAGACTAGTGTTAACTAAAAATTTAGGTTGCTGTTTTATTTTGTTTTGCTTTGGAATGTTTCTTTTTTTTAATTAAGATGTGCAAAGTATTTGAAGTATTTGATTATAGTATTTAATAGATAACATGCAATATATTCTTGTTAAGAGGGCTTATTAATAGAGGAGACTTTTTTTGAAAATGAGGAGAATGATGTCATGTTATGGAGGTCACAGAAAGCATAAATGGGGAACAATTGGGCATCCCAAAAGAAATCTTGTTTCCACTGTGTTTCTTCTGGAAGCCCTCAGTCAAGTTTCTTTTTGTGCCTTTCTGGTCCCTTGCAGCAAGGAAACCTATAGCTTCAACTGCAGAGTATTTTGACATTTGGGGGTCCCAGAATTTGTTTGCATATTTGTTTCAAAAACAACTAGGAGTTCATCTCCTCTCAACTTGGACTGCATCCACAGGGCTTAAGACTTTGGTGCTCCAGGTTGACCCTGACCTTGGCCAATGAACAAGAGCAGAGGAAGGACACTGGCTGAATTCAGATCACAGAGTTTATTACCACTTCCTGAATGAGTAGCTTGTCACAACCCCGAAAGCAGGGCATGGTTTTCTGTGCTTGGGCAACTGGATCTTTGGTTTCTCTGTTGAGGCTATGAACCATTCATTCAAAACACAGTGGTTACGTTTTCTGAAGCTGACCTGGCCAAGAAGTTTTTGTGTCAGCTGGATGATCATCCCATTTGACCTCATGTCCAGTTGCTTTGTTTGGGATAAAGCAGAATTGAGAATTGAAAGGAGACATCCCTGAAAGAGAACTGAGTGCTTGATCAAAACCCAACCCGCTGGATCAGGTCAGCCACGTGCCACAGGATAGAACTGCTCCATTGGGTCTTCTTGATTGAAATCTTTACAGAAACTGGTCCCAGATCTTTCTACTTTGGGACTATGGGGTTTACCTCTGCCATCAATGCCCCATAAACCTTGGCAGAGGGAACAGAACATACACTCAGAACTCCAAGACAGAGAAACCCACCTGGGAATTTTCACTTTAAGGCAATCCTAGAGCCACAACTATACTTTTCTCTAGCAAGTTACATGTTTCCACATAATAGAAGCTGCTTGTAAAACCTACTGATTAGACCAAAGTATCTTTTAAGTCTACTGTTTGGTTGGCATGAGCCCCTGGAGAATTTTGAAGGCCAGCCTTTAAGTGTGACAAGTTGATGTGATAGATATTATAATTACAGAATATGAGTCTAACTTTATCTCCACAATTTATAGGATCTCCCAAGGTAGTTTTACACTATGGGGCTGAATCAAATCCAACCTCTCAGGAATTTTTATCAGGATAGGCATTAGAATCTTGTGGCCAGTGTCAGAGAGAAGGGAGAGGGTGTGGGCCATATGCCAAGTGTCCCATTCTCGGGGAAGTGCTCCTCCACTCCCCAAGGTCAGGAATTTTGACCTTCAGATGCTGAGGCCTGAGCTTGAATAAGTGCACTTGGAGTTGGGGGAAGGACAGATGAACTTCTGGGGAAGTCTAAAATTGGACAAACCAGGAACATCCAAAGCACTTACCTCAGTCAAGCCCAGTGAGAGCAGGGTGTGCAAGCTGCACCTCACCACTGAGAGCTGACTCAAAGGGCTGAATCCATCTGCCCCTCAGTGTGCGAACCTGGAGACGGCCATCGCCGATGCAGAGCAGCGAGGGGACTGCGCTCTGAAGGACGCCCGGGTGAAGCTGGACGAGCTGGAGTCCGCCCTGCACCAGGGCAAGGAGGAGCTGGCCCGGATGCTCTGTGACTACCAGGAGCTCACGAGCGTGAAGCTGGCCCTGGACATGGAGATCGCCACCTACCGCAAGCTGCTGGAGGGAGAGGAGTGCAGGTGAGGGCCCAGGTGTCCTGTGTGTGAGCCAGGTATCACTATAGTATGGGAAGGTGGGATGTAAATAGATTGGTTCTGTGGGGATTCGCCACAGGGAAGGGGCTCACCCTCATTTTGGCAAAGGCAAAGTTAGCAAGTTACAAATACAAACTCCATCATTGGTGAGTCAATTCTGATTCATCGCAACCCTACAGAACAGGCTAGAACTGCCTTATAGAATCTCAAGGCTATAAATCTTTATGGATTTCAACTGCTACAATCCCCCCCCCCAGTGATGGGTGAGCTCAAATTGCAGTCTTTTTGTTTGCACCCAGGCACTTAACCACTGTGCCACCAGGACTAGATTATAAAAACACTAAAGAGGTGGCGAGAGAGAAAATTTTTATCAGTAATATCTGAGATACTTCTTGACCTTAGTGAGCTGTGGTTCTTGGTGGTGGATGGGGGAGGGGGCAAGATGGCCTCCAATAGTCATTCAAGGTCGAAGTCACTCTGACAAAGCCTGAGGCCCAGAGAGGGTGAGTTCATTCCTTTTAATGGCTCAGGGCCAGTGGCATGACTGGCGAAGAACAAAGACATTAGGATCACACACAACAGATGGCACCTGTTTGAGTAAGGGCTGAAGCCTGTAGTTTATAATTTTAGTTCTCCAGTTCTTGAGTGGTCTCACGGGGGCCAGTGGCGTGGAGAGGGAGCTGGCATGTTCCAGCTGAGAAGCTAATCAATAGAGAAGACTGCCTGGATGCGTGTGGATTGTTTGTGAAGGACTTGTCTAATTTCTTCTTTTCCTTTCTCAGGATGTCTGGTGAATATCCAAATTCTGTAAGCATATGTAAGTATCTGCAGGGCTTGGTCCTGCCCAGGGGTCCCCTGATCAGAAATCGGGGTCCACTAAATTCCATGACACAAAGGAGAAGCCAAAATAACATAGAGGGATCTGGAGAGATTTAGGGGCACAAATAGTGGGGCTCGCTCCAGTCACTGAGGGGGAGCAATGAAATGGAGATAAAGAGTAACATAAAATGCAAAAGCACAACCTTTTGAAAGATTAAGTGATACCCAACCATGAATGAATAAGCTAAAATTGAGTTGTAAGAATGAACTGACTGGTAGCATTCTGTCTCTACTGAGGCCAGGAGCAAGTAAAAAGCCTGTGAGGGCTCTAAGAGGGACTGAGGGCAGCCTGGAAGGCTGAAGGATGCAAAAGGACCAGGATCAAGCACATCCGGGTTTGAGAGTCAGAAAGAGTGCAGGTGAGGTGCTGCATTACTGAGATGGAGATACTCCCAGCATCCCCTTTCTCCAGCAGCATCATCCAGAGCCCTCCATGGCTTGTCTTTCTGCATGATAGAGCCTTTTCTGTTAGGAGCCTGATCCCAGCACTGAAAGATTAATATAGACTGATACAGGAAAGGGCCAAGTTTGAAAATGAAGCCTCATCAGGCCAGTGCTGAGGTGTATCTCCTAGTAAATGGAAAATACACAACAGAGAGATGTGTCTGAAGGACATGAAGCCACCACAGGGCAGAGAACTAAGGAAATGGCTAGGATGCCTGGAAGGGCTCTTAAGCACTGTGCAGTCTGACCCGGGCTGGGCTCTCCTCTCACCCTCTCCAGCTGTCATCAGCAGCACCAACGCTGGGCCAGGCGGAGCGGCCTTCAGCCTGGGCTTTGGCTCCTCAAGCAGTTACAGCTACAAACCTGCAGCCACCGATGTCAAGACCAAAGGCAGCTGTGGCAGCGAATTCAAGGATCCCCTTGCCAAAGTTGCGGGCAGTGGCTGTGGAACAAAAAAGGCCTCCCGATGAAGGGCAGAGGAAAGCACCTTTCTCTCTCCCACCTCCGTGTTCTGTTTCCAGCCAACAAGTGCCACCTTTCACCACTGTCCTGACCCCAGCCCCCTCCCAACGGTCCTCAGGAGAGTGATGTTCTGATGGGGCCTCTCTTGGTGGCCACACCTTCTTAGTCCCCTTCACAGGGTCACTGCTCCAAAATGCAGAGAGAACACACGTTCCCAGGCTCTGGCCCCTCCACCCTTGCCTCTCTTGGGTCTTCACTGCAAGGGGCTCTCTTTTTCCTGTGAACTGGATCATGCCCAGTTCGCTGCTTTTCTTTAAATAAATGATTGATGGCATTTGGTTCTTAGGATGTTGACATCAGCATTGCTCTTCCTTTTCCTCTAACTCATGCTGAATCCTGTTGGACATGGATCTTTGCTGTCTGTGGACCAAAGGTGAGATGGGCATCGGGTGACAGCTGATCTTAGGTAAAAGCTGGATTTCACTATCGATGCTGCTGCCCCGCAGCCAGAGCACTTCCTGTGCAGTGTCACCTGTCCACACAAAGGCCCTGGGAGATGGCTGTCACCACTCCCATAACGCGGAGGCCTCACACAGCTACAAATAGGAAACACAGAACTGTCAGATCTTAGAACATTAGCTTCACTTCTAGCTCAAGCTTCTGAGAATCACTTGTCATGCTGTGCCAAAGATCATTCATTATTATTATTATTATTATTCTACCAATCTACTTCCCAGTTCTTCCTTCTCCCCTGCAACCGTCTTGCTTTCCTCTTCTTCCAGCCAATTTCTTTTCCACCCTAAAGTATGAGGCTTGTATATGTAGATACCTGTTATGTCTGCATTTGTCTCTGTTGTGTTTGTATGGTAGTTACTTCACTTAACATAGTTTTAATGAACATCGACTGTGCCTGCATTGCCCGGGCATTGGATGGGCCAGAGTGAACAAAACAGACTCAGAACCTGTCCTCCTAGAACTTACATTCCAGCTGGGAGAATGTGACCAAAGACTAACAAAGATGTATGCAACCCATGTGGTGGCAAAGAGTGATAGCTGTTGTAAGAAAAAGGAAGTAGAGTAAGAGGCCAGGGAGATGCAAGGATACTCTGAGAGGTGTGTTTCCACAAGCATGTTTGTCTCTCAGGCTTGCTGGCCCAGTTAAGCTGAGCAAGGTGCACGTTGCAAGATTGTTAAACTCATGGCCATTTTATGAGTCTCATTTGGGAGCAGCATTTAGGATGCCTGGCATTCTTTCTCCTTCCACATCATTCTCTGTCCTTACACTCAAGTATTCCCCCTCCTTTTTGCAAGTATGACATGAATTTTTATGCTCATGCTCTTTCACTAATTAATCTCAACTATAGGTGCCCATGCCTTATTGCGTGGAAGTGGGCTCGTTCTTCATGGCCCAGCATCCCCACCTTATTCATGCTCTCCCTTGTCCTCCCAGCTATAGCCATCCAGTCATGAAACATTAAATGACAGGGAACATGTTAGTCACTTGGCTCCTCTGTCCATTTTGTAGGTGAGCTAAATGAGGCCCAGGCGAGTGTGCATGCAATCTCTCCACTTTTCAGCCCTGATGGGTGGCAGGATGGACACCTCCAACCTGTGTTTCCAGCCCTGAGTTACAGCGGGTGCTTGGGTTTCCTTCAGTCATGTTAGCTGCTCACATCTCTGTCCTCTTGCCTCTCCTGTCCCCCTCTTGCAGGGTTCTCTAGTCTGGTCCTCAGTGGTCACTCAATTAACGTTTGCTACAGGAAAGCAGATGATCATATATGCATATAGTGAAATGCATTTGTGTTAATATTTTACTGTCTAAATGGGGACATTCTTCTTCTGACAAATACTAAATTAGACCCCAAGACAATGGTCCCCCAAGGTCTAGCATGCTAGCCAAGTCATCACACACTGCCTTCAAATCCTGGCTTTTTTTCAGCTCTTAACTGTGGCCTAGTGCATGGAGCCCTGGTTAAGTGTTCAGCTGTTAAATTAAAGGTTGGCAACTCAAATCCAGGATATCACATTTGGAAAGGTAGAAGGATAGCAAAAGAGAGGAAGACCCCCAAAGAGGTGGATTGACAACGTGAATGCAGCAGTGGGCTCAAGTGTATCAGAGATAATGAGGATGGCACAGGATAGGACAGGATTCAGGTTTGTTGTTCATGGAGTTGCTATGAGTAATATGCAATTTGATAGCACACAATAACAACAACGTTAACAACAAGGAGTTCTGATCTTGGAAACTGTATGGGGCGGTTTATTCTGTCCTGTATGAAACTCTGGTTGTTTGGTCTAGAGGGAACTCTGCTGCTAACCCTAATGCTGTGCCTTTCTGGCAATTCAAATTCATCAAGGGTTCCTTGGGCAAAAGGTGGGCAATCTCCTCTCATGCAATTTATAGCCTTGAAAACTGCTGTGAGTTGTTCTGGCTCGATGGCCATGGTTTCTAGTTTATAGTGTCAAAGTGAGTCAGAACTGGCTCAATGGCAATGGACTTGGATTTTAGCATGGACAAGGACAGAGCTCTGGTGGCCTCCCGGTAAGAAGCCATGCGTATCCCAAAGGCATGTGATTCAAATCCAAGGATAAACATCTCCTCCCTTGTGATTTACTGCCTCTGAAAACCCACTGGAGAGTCAGCTAGGGGTTGGATCTGATTCAATGGCATGCAACAACAACTATACAAGATTTTGTAAAATAGTATCAACACAAGCTGACAATGAACACTTTCTATTTGGTAGGTACTGTTCTCAGCACTAGTTCTAAGCACTTTATGTCTAGCAATTCAATTTTTCCAATAATCTGCTGTATATTATTGTTAGGTACTGTCATTATTATATCCATTTCACCCGTGAAGATTCTGAGGCTTAGAGAGGTTAAATAACAATGTCACATGTTTAGTAAATAACAGTAATAGTAGTGATTGGGCTTCAACTGAGAGATGAAGGTCAGTTCAGTTCTAGAATCCTTGTTCACAGCTATGTTATTATGTGCCAGTGAGTCTGTGACTCATAGTGACAATATGTACAATAACTCTGAATGCTGTCCTATCCTAGCCAGCCTCGTTCACTCCAACACACCTACACCCATGACCCCAGTTACTGTGTCAATCCATTTCTTCTGGGGTCTTCCTCTCCTGCTTTGTCCCTTTGCCCTTCCAAGCATAGTGTCCTAAGGACTGGTCCCACTGACCACGTGCCAAAAGTGTGTGAGATGAAGCTTCAAAATTCTTGTTTTCAAGGAGAAATTTGGTTTCATCCTCTCCCAAAACTGACCTGTTTGTTCTCTTGGCAGTCCAAGAGTTCAATACTGTTCTCCACACCACAACTTAAAGGCATCCATTCTTCATCTGTCATCCTTAGTCACCATTCAGCTCTCTGCTACATAGCAAATAATTGTGAAGACTATGGCCTGGATCAGGTGCACCTTAGTCTCTAAACTGATATCTTTGCTCTGTAGCATTTTGGAAAGATCCCTGACAGCACACTTCCCCATCTTTTGATTTCCTGACTACCAGTTCCAAGAGTGTTGATTGTGGAGCTAACTAAGTAAGCTGGTATTGTTAACAACCTCAATCTCTTCTCCATCTGTCATGGTGCAGTCAATCTGCCCAGTGGTGAGAATCTTTGTCTTCTTGATGTTGAGCTTCAATTCATGTTGAAGATTACAGTCCTTGAAAATGCTTCAGTATGACGCACTATTATTTCATTTACAGCTCCTAGTATTGGTGAACAGAGCATATGAAAAGAAATGAAAATTAAATGCTTATCCTATGTACCTAGAACATAGCTTGAACCATTAGATGCTAGCTATTTTGTTAGGGAGTTTTGAGTGGTGAAAATGGTTAATACAATCAGTTGCAAAAAAGAAGGCATGGAGGTTCCAAAAACCCAGCTATTGATAGCCCGTTCTGCTCTGACATACATGTGGTTGCCATGAATTTGAGCTACGTGATAATTGTTATATTATGATGATCATAGTGATTATTATTAAGGTGTGCTTATGCATTTTCTGTGTGTGCTGGCTAGGCACTGGCTCATGACTGAAAGGTGGAGATTAGTAGCAGAACTGTGCTCTGAGACCTGGCCCAATGAGCTACGTGAAGAGTAGAAGGCACAGCTTCTAGTCATTAATGCACAGTCCCATCCAGTCACCAGTTGAGAATTTTCAGGCAGGGCAAATTGCCTGTTGTTGTTGTTAAGTGCTGTCAAGTCGTAGGCAACTCATAGCGATCCTATGAACAGAAAGTCCTCAACACTAGGAGCCTCTATTTTGTACCCACACTGCCCTCTGCCGTCAATTCCAAGTACTGCGCCTTCCATCTGTGGCACTGGTGAGACTGGGCCCTACCACGAGAGAGACAGAGAGACGGGGTGTGTGTGGGCAGATCCTGGACAGGCTTTTGTGCCCATCACGGCACTGCCAACTAGCGAGGATGCAGTTTATTTCCCTGGCATGCCCAGGCTGGCCCAATCTCTGTCTTGCTCCAGCTCTGGCTCTTTTGCCCCCTCCCTCTTCTCTCTGATTTCTCTTACCAGAGTGGGGTGGAGACACCATCCACCCCCACCTGAACCTCTTCCTCTCTTGTTGGAGAACCTGCCGCCATCAGATAGCTCTTTCTCAGGAAGCTCCTGAGAATCCTGTTCTTGTTGCAGAGGCCTCCTTACTCAGCAGTAGTACTCACTTCTCCGGAGCCCACCTGCCTTGAGTGGAAGGGGAGTCTGAAAAACTCTGGTCCATTATCCCCCTAGGTGCATTGCCCACCAAAGGCTACAGAGGAAGGGAGAAATCAGAGCTGGACACTGACAACCTGGGGAGATTTTTGGAGGCGAGGGAAGGGGCATGGGGTGCTGCAGAAGGGGAATTGTTCAAGCTGGCCTTGAGCTGATGCACTGAGGTTTGAATGGCCCTTTGCCAAGCTCCAACCTCCACCCACTGTCTCCACCACTCTGCCCCCTGCAGGTGACCACGGCACATAGGATGCCTGTTCTGCCTTCACATTTAC